TTAGGATTTGATGTACAGCTCAGTACTTTTATTGGTGTGCTGCTTTAGTTTGGAGGCCATATTGTTTAAAAATTGCATAGTGCAAAAGCTTCTCGTAGAGAAGATAACTTTTTTCACTGTATGTAGACTGGATATGGACTGGGACGTAAGCGGGAAGGAAAAGGCAAGAACAGTGGTGATTTTTGAGGTTCCTGGTACCAGGAAGTTGCATCCAGGGAGGTCAGTGGAAATGCACCGTGGCTGGTAGTGTCAAGGAGAAAATGCGGAACGTTAGCGAAGTCTGTTAAGTGCCCGCGTGCACGTTAGGAGTAGAGTGCCGTGGGCAGCAGAATGAGGATATGATATCGTAATGGCAACTGCTGAGAGCGTAGAGCAGTGGTATTTGCAAGAATTCCCTATACATACACACCACGTAGGCACCGCCCAGTCCGTCCTCCTAGAAGCTAGCAGTGGAGAAGCTGAGACGTGAGACAGGACACTGGGACCTCTCTCTCACTGACAGGACGCAGAGAGCTCTGAGATGCGGACAATGGAGAGCGAAGGCATGGGACCGTGCGGGTGAGATCAACCTGCGCTGACACATGGCTACATGGTGCTTGTGTGGCAAGCAGACTTCGCGAGGAAAGTAGCCTCATTGCATAACTTGATTTGAGGTATAAGTTTTCTTTACCTTTTATTATTTTTGGTCTATCTTCAGGAGGTAAAAAGTGATGGAGAGAAATGGTCTGGGTCCACGAGCAGGGTAAATGCTAAGCAGTGGTGTGGGAGAAGCAGGAACGCTGTAATTTAAAAAAATCCCGCAGCAGGAAGTAGTGGTAGCAAAGCACCGATGGCTGGGTGTACTCTCAGAAAAGGCTGGAAAACAGCAGAACACAACATGCTCTATAAACCAGCATAACTGGTTAATGTAAGCTACTGTTTAGTTGTTTCATTGCTCCCTGCCAGGTGAATATTATTGTGTCTGTTTTGCAAGTGGAAACTTGAAGGGAGGAGAGGCTTAGATTTGACCACAACCACAGTGTTTTCCTTCCTGTTTCTTACTGTTGGCCCTTTGCTCAGTCCCCTTCATGGTGCTGCCTGCTACCATAGAGTCTGGAGCCGCTTCTAAGCCATGCGGTGAGCAGCTGTGCCAGAGAGGAGCCTGGTAAGCAAAGCTGGTTGTGAGGTTGTGGTGACATCTGGAATACTTTCCATCATGGCTGGAGTTGGATTTGGGCTTCCCTGTGTGCTGACTGTCCAGTGGTGGCAGCTAAAAATTTCATTACTCTCAAAGACTAACTCTGGAAGTCCATAAGGAAACAACAGCATGTAGACCAAAGTCTACAATAGCGTGATGAGTGACTGTGTTTATGTGGCTGTTTCCATTCAGTGGGAAATGGGAATGTAGGAACAAAGACACCAAAAAGAGAAACTGGTTTGGTATTTCCCATTTCTATGGGAAACGCTGTTAAGATGTAGCAGCATGTGCCAGCCTATTTCATCCATTGTCTCACACCTTTGTAGACATAAAAATCATTTTATTTGTCTACTTTTTCAAGCACATAGAAAAGGGCTAAGAACATTGTAACTTATCAAGCAAAGTCAATAAAAATGAGCTTAATTTTAAGCATGTTAATGCTTTCTAATAAAAGCATATTTGCAGTAAACTCTTTTTAATCAAAAAAAGAGAGAAAGGAAATTTATTGTGGTTCAAACAGGAACAGCAAAAAGGAGGAACCTAAATGAACCACAGACAATAAAAGCTTGAAATGTTTTTTCTCCTTTTAAAGGTAGAATCCTAGGAAGGTGCCGGCAGAAAGGAAGTCGTTATTAGAAGGAAGAACTGATAAAAATGTAAGCTGTAAATTAAACATTTTCATCCACGGTCAACATCTGCTCTTTACAGAGGAGCCAGAAATGCAGCAATAGGGACTCTCTCAAAGCCACAGAAGTGCTGGAAATCCAAAGCCTGAATGGAAAGGTGTGGAGACGCATCTTAATTTAAAGGATGTGATTGACCAAACTAGGCAAGTAAAGGCAAGGCTATATACATACTGAGTTCAGTGGGGGCATTTAGATGATTAGTGTCTTAGCATTGTTTTTTTTTTTAGAGTTCAGTAACTTCCTTTATTTGAGTTTTCTGGGGAATATTTTTTGCTTGTTTGGGTGGGGGAGTTTTTTGTTGTTTTTTTAAATGAACATGATACAAAGATTACCTTTTTTTTTTTAAAGCCAATCAGGCAGCACATCCAACACAGTATTAACTGATGTTAACAGAGGCCTAACAACCCCAGCAACCTATTGTCTTTAGCAGGATAACAGCTGATTCATTAGCATGAATTTGGCTTTCAGTTCTGAAAGAGTAAACCAAAAAAATTACAACTTGATTTTTAAAACATGTTTCAGTCAATCGAAACCAACATAAATTTATTATTTTAAATCCTGCCAGATATTTTACTCTATCTGATACAATTTTTTGCATGAGGTAGCGGTGGGCTTTAGTTATTTCTGTTTAATCACGTTTGTAGTAAAATGACAAATCAAAATAAAAATCACTTAGAAAATATTAAGCTGAAAACTTCTACTTACTTAAATCTTTAATCTCCCAATTATGCTATTTTTTCCCCACAACAAGATATGTGAAACACTTGAGCTTTTTTTAATGAAAATAATCTATTTTTTAATCCAAAAATACATCTTATAGCACCAAAACTTCATCAGCTGGCTCCTCTCAACAGTCAGATTTGGGAGAGATCAAAACAGCAGATCTTTCTACTGAAGCAGGCCAACGTTACTTCCTCTAGTTGATACTTTATACTATAGTGATCTACTGGGAATCACTTGGGCTGTAGGGACAGCCTGTACACAATAAGGCTTTGCAAACAGAGCCATAAAACTGACTGTTCTTGCTGGGCTGGCCTGAAATGAAATAGCAATGCTTGTTTGTGGCCACATGAGCAGCATCCCCTTGAAGGTCTCCCGAGCACTTGGGCACATGCACAGGGGCTGTGGGAGCAGCGCTGGCCACGGCGCGTGCACTGGTACCCATTGAGAGCAGTAAGGCAACAGGCTGTCCTAACAGCGGCTGCCCTCAGTTCTCTCCCACCTTAACCTGGTGCACAACTTATCTCACACTAAGAAGCAGTGTTGTGGGATCCCGGTACTAGAATATTGGCAGAAACAGGTGAGTAAATGATAACCCTAACAACCTACTTGCAGTTCCCGTTGGACTCACTCGTAAATACCAGCCAGCCAGCAATGGTCTTTAAAAAGTGTTCCTTGAGGGAAAATTGTACCTCTGGTGAAGGGAATCCATCAGTCACTTAAATTCAGCAGAGTTGACTTTTGGAGCCATAAGCTAAGGGCTTATCCTTCTTTAATCACCAACTTTGGGATCAGGTCCCCCAAAGTAATCTCAGTATAATTTTCTCTAAAAGGGAAAATTATATAAATGGATCCTGATATCGTGCCATTGGACTCAAAACTAGTTATCCACTGCATTCAGTGGAAGCACGATCAGGTTAGAGCGACAGCTGAAAAAGTGGTGGAGATGCTGCCTGGGCCTGGAAACCCATCCTGTGTTTTGGAACTGGGACTCTGGGGTCCTGTTTCCAGAGACATACAATGACTAGATATGTGACCTTAGGCTACCTGTGAGACTTTGTTTTAAATGTCACAGAGCACCATGGAGCCGAGGAATTTCGGCCCCGTTTCTACAGCAGCCACGGGATATTGTGCAGGGGCTGTTCAGGCAGAAGCGGCTGCAGGAATAGCAGAATCCCCTGGAACTGCAACGCCCTTAAGAACAGCAATGACCTTGGCACTCAGAGGAGGGCGCCCAAATCGAGGAGAGATGGCGAAGGTCAGCAGACTCTCAGCATCAACAAGGCCTGGGCAGAGCTCAGCCCTTCATTCATTACCCAGCAGTGAAAGCGACAATGTGGCCTTTTCCTGCGTTTGTGGCCCTCTTCACTGTCCATTGTGTTGATTTCAATGAAACTTAAGCGCATACTTAGAATTAAGCACTTCTTTGCGTGTTGCCCTCAGGAGAGAGAATTTCCTCAAGTAGGGCCAAACATGTACTTTGTACAGGGCTTCTTCTGACCCAGAAGGTCAATTAAAGCTTTTGAGGGGCCCTGAAGGGATATTTTTAATTGTTCAAAGTCTTGTTTTGTTTTCAGGCTCTGCAAAATAATCTGAATGTGTGTTTGTATAAATGCGTAAGTAAAAAGCTGGCAAAGAAAAAAGCTTGCTGTTCATTGTGGTTCAGATCTGGCAACTGTGGAGTCAGACTGAGTTTTACCATTGATTTCAGCAGGGGCAAGCTGTCTAGCCGTTTTGTATGAATATATATACATTTTTCCCACATAGGGATAAAAGTAGCTGGTATAAAATCCAGGCATTTTTGATGATGCGATACATAACTTGTGAAATTATTGTATGCTTGCATAATGGTTATAATCTGAGAGCAGAGAGTAATTTCCATTTCTCTAATGGAAATCCCAGCACAGGGAGTGAGACACAGGTAAGGCCCACCTAGATGCAGGATTACAGAAGCGCTCATGAGTCCCGAGGGTTAGGCATTATAGTCTTCAGGTTAGGTGTATTCCACAGCAAACTCTGCATCATTTCAGTAGTTACTGTCTGCTGGTAGTAATTATCCATTTCTGGGCTAATTCTTTGCCTCCTTTCTCCCCGCCCCCACCCTTGCTGGTGTTATTTTGCCTGAGCCTAAACTACTTTTTTGTTAGTATTTGCTTGTTTGTTTGTTTTGCTTTTTTTCCCTTTCTCTTTAGCCTCACGTGATGCAAAGTTGTTTTCTCAAAGATGAAGTAAAGAAACAGCACTATATCTTAACTTTGCTCTTGGGCTGAGCAGAAGCAGGGACTGCAGCAGGCAAAGACCCTCAGCCTGGCAGGTCTTCTAGACGGGTGCTCTGCAAATCTACGTGTTAAACCTGAAGGTCTTAACGACTACGTGCAGGTTGCAAATTCAAATGTGCTCCCTCTCCTTTGTTGCAG